CGGTTAAAGAGGTGCAGCAGTTCTTGGGCTTTGCGAATTACTACCGGAGGTTTATCCGGGGTTTTGGACAGGTGGCAGCTCCCATAACGTCCCTTCTGAAGGGGGGTCCGGTGCGCTTGCGGTGGTCAGCTGAGGCGAACAGGGCTTTTGGGAGACTGAAGGACCTGTTTACTTCGGCTCCGGTGCTGGCGCATCCGGATCCCGCTTTACCATTCCAAGTGGAGGTGGACGCGTCAGAAGCCGGTATCGGGGCCGTTCTCTCGCAACGGTCCGGCACACCACCTAAACTCCGCCCCTGTGCTTTTTACTCGAAAAAGCTCAGTCCGGCGGAGCGAAATTATGACGTAGGGGACAGGGAGCTGTTAGCCATGGTACAGGCCCTAAAGGTGTGGAGGCATTGGCTTGAGGGGGCTCAACACCCTTTTCTCATTTTGACTGACCACTGTAACCTGGAATACATTCGGGCAGCTAGGAGACTAAATCCTCGCCAGGCTCGGTGGACTATGTTTCTAGCCCGGTTCGTGTTTAAGATCACTTACATCCCTGGGTCCCAGAACGGAAAGGCAGACGCCCTGTCTCGGCGGTATGACACAGAGGAGAGGTCCGTTGAGCCCACTCCCATACTACCGAAGTCTTGTCTGGTGGCACCGGTGGTGTGGGAGGTCGATACGGAGATCGAGCGGGCGTTACGCACCGACCCTAGCCCTCCACAGTGTCCGGTGGGTCGGACGTACGTTCCGCTCGAGGTTCGGGATTGACTCATTTATTGGGCTCACACGTCACCCTCCTGTGGGCATCCAGGTATTGGCCGGACAGTGCACTGCCTTAGCACAAAGAACTGGTGGCCAACGTTAGCCAGGGATGTGAGGGTTTATGTCTCCTCCTGCTCGGTGTGTGCCCAGTGTAAGGCGCCCAGACACAAAAAAGTATTAAGTCAGCCACCAATTGTGCAAGTTCTCCCACTTAAAAAGATGAGAGAGGCCTGTAATTTTCATCATAGGTACACGTCAACTATGACAGACAAATTGAGGGGGAAAAATCCAGAAAATCACATTGTAGGATTTTTAATGAATTTATTTGCAAATTATGGTGTAAAATAAGTATTTGGTCACTTACAAACAAGCAAGATTTCTGGCTCTCACAGACCTGTAACTTCTTCTTTAAGAGGCTCCTCTGTCCTCCACTCGTTACCTGTATTAATGGCACCTGTTTGAACTAGTTATCAGTATAAAAGACACCTGTCCACAACCTCAAACAGTCACACTCCAAACTCCACTATGGCCAAGACCAAAGAGCTGTCAAAGGACACCAGAAACAAAATTGTAGACATGCACCAGGCTGGGAAGACTGAATCTGCAATAGGTATATCATAGTTGACGTGTACCTATGATGAAAATTACAGGCCTCTCTCATCTTTTTATGTGGGAGAACTTGCACAATTGGTGGCTGACTAAATATTTTTTTCCCCCCACTGTATCTGTGATGACAACACTGAGATGAGTAATGTCAGTGTATTGTTACATGAAAGAAGCAATTACAACAACAAAACAGTATAACATAACTATGTCAAACAAAATTTTAGACCTGCACCAGGCTGGGAAGACTGAATCTGCAATCGGTAAGCAGCTTGGTTTGAAGAAATCAACTGTGGGAGCAATTATTAGGAAATGGAAGACATACAAGACCATTGATAATCTCCCTCGATCTGGGTCTCCACGCAAGATCTCACCCCGTGGGGTCAAAATGATCACAAGAACAATGAGCAAAAATCCCAGAACCACACGGGGGGACCTAGTGAATGACCTGCAGAGAGCTGGGACCAAAGTAACAAAGCCTACCATCAGTAACACACTACGCCGCCAGGGACTCAAATCCTGCAGTGCCAGACGTGTCCCCCTGCTTAAGCCAGTACATGTCCAGGCCCGTCTGAAGTTTGCTAGAGTGCATTTGGATGATGCAGAAGAGGATTGGGAGAATGTCATATGGTCAGATGAAACCAAAATATAACTTTTTGGTAAAAACTCAACTGGTCGTGTTTGGAGGACAAAGAATGCTGAGTTGCAATAAATAATGTGGAAATTGAGCAAGTTGAGGTGACTAAACTGCTTGGAGTAACCCTGGATTGTAAACTATCATGGTCAAAACATATTGATACAACAGTAGCTAAGATGGGGAGAAGTATGTCCATAATAAAGCGCTGCTCTACCTTCTTAACAGCACTATCAACAAGGCAGGTCCTACAGGCCCTAGTTTTTTCACACCTGGACTACTGTTCAGTCATGTGGTCAGGTGCCACAAAAAAGGACTTAGGAAAATTGCAATTGGCTCAGAACAGGGCAGCACGGCTGGCCCTTGGATGTACACAGAGAGCTAATATTAATAATATGCATGTCGATCTCTCCTGGCTCAAAGTGGAGGAGAGATTGACTTCATCACTACTTGTGTTTATGAGAGGTGTTGACATGTTGGGTGCACCGAGCTGTCTGTTTGAGCTGTTGGTGCACAGCTCGGTCACCCATGCATACACCACAAGACATGCCACCAGAGGTCTCTTCACAGCCCCCAAGACCAGAACAGACTATGGGAGGCGCACAGTACTACATAGAGCCATGGCTACATGGAACTCTATTCCACATCAAGTAACTCATGCAAGTAGCATTAGATATAAAAAAAAAAAAACACCTTATAGAACAGCGGGGACTATGAAGCAACACAACCATAGGCGCAGACACATGCATACACATACACGATAACATACGCACTATACACACACGTACACATGGATTTTGTACTGTAAATATGTGGTAGTGGAGTAGGGGCCTGAGGGCACACAGTGTGTTGTGAAATCTGTGAATGTATTGTAATGTTTTAAAAATTATATGAACTGCCTTTAATTTTGCTGGACCCCAGGAAGAGTAGCAGCTAAAGGGGATCCATAATAAATACAAATACAAAACTGGGCAGCAATGTCGCGATGGAGGGAGTAGCCTATACGGAGACTACCTAAGACCACTGCAACAGAGTTATTGTAAAGTGTGGGAGTAATCTTATGCCAGACTTAGCCTACATTTAACCTCTCTGTTGTTCATTTCAAACTCCATATATTCATGACCCGATTCGTATAAATCATGTCAAAATATTTTAAATTCATATTAACCCCTCCTACAGAATATGCTTTGGAAAGATTTTGAGGGATAAAATAGATATCAAAATATTCTATAAAGAAATATTTTGAGTGGCAAAGACTCCAGTGGTCATACATAATTCATAGATTCACAAAATATCTATTACTATTCTATGTTTCATTATTTCAGGTAGATACTACTGGTTGTGATTGCAGACAGAGGCCAGAGAATGGGATGGTGCAATATTGAATTAGTAATTTTTTGGTAAGGTGCATGCATGGGGATGTCCACGTCACCCATAGATACGCCCATGCTGTAGAGATACACCTAGCGGACTGAAACTTCTCTGTTGTAGGCATAATACAGCTAGTGCAATCTAGACTTGCGCTGGCGAACAAATCCATTACATTAGCTACCTAAATTTGAAGTAAACTCAACTGAGGAGTAATAGAGAATGGGGACTTTTAACTTGGAAATGTGCAGGATACCTCTTTCCGGTTTCCCTGACTTATGTTTTTTTTATACTGTATAATGCTTGTTCGGTAGCACTCCTCACAGGCCGTTTGGTTTATGTTTTTTTTTTTATGAAACTGCCAAAACTCTGAAAGGTATTATTGTACGTCAGAAATGCAACACAAGATTTGTTCCAGCCTAAAATGTTAGTCCGTAATCGTAACATGGTTTTTGTATGTTCACAGATGAAATTTCACGTTTACGTTTCACACATGGCTTCTCTTACGATCCTAACATTTTACGTACGGATTTTCATACGATGCAAACGATACATACATTCAACCTTTTGGCAGGTATCTCGCTGTATAAAAACCGGTCAGGAAGATCACGTCAGTGACTCAACCCACTCAATTTGAGTATAGCAGTAAAACGCCAGGCACGACGTGACGCACCCCTCCTAGGGACGGCATGGAAGAGCAATATTAAGCCAGTGACTCAGCCCCCTTAATAGAGGCAGAGGCAGAGAATCCCAGTGGAGAGAGGGGAGCCGGCCAGGCAGAGACAGCAAGGGCGGTTTGTCACTCCAGTTCCTTGCCGTTCACCTTCGCACCCCTGGGCCAGACTACACTCAATCATAGGACCTACTGAAGAGATGAGTCTTCAGTAAAGACTTAACGGTCGAGACCCGGTCTGCGTCTCTCACATGGATAGGCAGACCATTCCATAAAAATTTAGCTCTGTAGGAGAAAGCCCTGCCTACTGATTTCCTGCTAAATTAAAGGCCGTTTAGGCCGATCTATCAACTCTATACATTATTATTCTCATACATGACTCATATTGTGTCTGTGGATAACCTCCTGATCATAGAGGGAAACGCTTCTGACAATAAAGCATTTCAAACTGTTTTCCGTTCCATTGCTCTACGGGCATTCATCTCCTGTGTGCATTTGTCTTGGGGCGCAGTGTGCTCCTCTGTCAATCATACTGCTTCTGCAACAACAAGCATCGTCAAAACTACCTCACTATCTGTCCCCACAGAAAAGCATCTCAAGTGTGAAGGTGTGATTCTGTGTCACTGTGATTGCGTGTCCTGATATTGCGTTAGTGTCCTGTCCTCTGAGCTGAATGGTCTGGGTCTGTTAGGGGACTGGTCTACTGCATGTTCAGGGCATGATTGAGCCTCAACATGAATCTTTCATGAAGGTCATGTTCTGGGAATGTTCTTCTGTTTTATTTTTGTATTTTTATGGACGTCCTTGTCTCTTTCCTTGGTTGTCAATTAATTCTAGTGACCCTCTCCAGTAACGATGCTTCACTTAAAAGCTGTAGGTATAGTCTACTCATCTTAGGCTTAGGCCTACATTTAAGGGATTTCTCTTGTCTAATAGTTAGCTTTCTTTTGTGTTCTTATTCTTATTCCAGGGTCGATGTTCAAGAGAAAACTGTAAGTACCTTCATCCACCTTCTCATTTAAAAACCCAGCTAGAGATTAACGGCCGCAACAACCTCATCCAGCAGAAGACAGCAGCAGCCATGCTTGCCCAGCAGATGCACTTCATGATCCCAGGCACGAGCATGCAGCCTGTAGTAAGTACAGTTTATTATACACCATCCCAAAACTCAGATCCTTCATTTCAGATGTTTAGTAGTGTCTGTACTGGCTGCTGTCCCTTCTCATTTACAGCCTACGTTCAATGTCACCCAGGGGCTTGGTACGAGCCCAGGTCTCAGCTACTCTCCTTACCTTACACCCATGACATCCGTGAGCCATGGGATGAGCTTGATGCCCACGGAGATGCTCCCCAGCACCCCAGTCATGGTCCCTGGAAGTCCCCCAGTCACAGTCCAGAGCTCCAACTCGTCCTCCTCTTCCCCCTCACAGAAGCTGTTGCGCATCGACAAACTGGAGGTATCAAATCACCTTCACACAAACACAAACAAGGCTGTATCATATGCTGTATTAATACACTGAGTATACAAAACATTAAGAACACCTTGAGTTGCAACCCCTTTTGCCCTCAGAACAGCCTCAATTTGTCGGGGCTTGGACTCTACAAGGTGTCGAAAGCGTTCCACAGGGATGCTGGCCTATATTGACTCCAATTCTTCCCACAGTTGTGTCAAGTTGGCCGGATGTCCTGTGGGTTGTGGACCATTCTTGATACATACGGGAAACTGTTGAGTGTGAAAAACCCAGCACCGCTGCAGTTCTTGACACACTCAAACCAATTCCCCTGGCACCAACTACCATACCCCTTTCAAAGGCACTTAAATTCTTTGTCTAACCCATTCACCCTGTGAATGGCACACATACACAATCCATGTCTCAATTGTCTCAAGGCTTAAAAATCCTTATTTACCTGTCTCCTCCCCTTCATCTAAACTGATTGAAGTGGATTTAACAAGTGACATCAATAAGGGATCATAGCTTTCACCTGGATTCACCTGGATTCACCTGGTCAGTCTATGTCATGGAAAGAGCAGGTGTTCATAATGTTTTGTACACTCAGAGCACATTTATTACGGAATGCCTGTTGAAAACAGGGTACATTGCCAGGGTGCTACTACGTCAGCTATCTCTTCCTGTGTGGTTTTCCTATTGTAGGTGTGTCGTGAGTTCCAGCGGGGGACCTGTGCGCGAGGCGAGACGGACTGCCGCTTTGCCCACCCCAGCGACAGCCCCATGATCGACACCAGTGACAACACTGTCACCGTCTGCATGGACTACATCAAGTCGCGCTGCTCCAGGGAGAAGTGCAAGTACTTCCACCCCCCTGCTCACTTACAGGCCAAAATCAAATCCTCTCAACACCAGGTCAACCATACGGCCGTGGCAGCTCAGGCAGCAGCTGCAGCCATGGTAAGATGCTTCCCTCCAGACCCATGGGCAGCAGCATAGAACACACACACCATTGGCTAGTATAGCTACTGTAATACTGTACCGTCCCTTCTGATTAAGGGCAACTTGTCCTATTCATTTTAAAAATGCAACGCATTCTACATTCACAGTAGTGGGCCTACTATCTTAATCCTGTTAAATTACCCTTTGTTGGTTGATTAGCTAACATCATAGAATGTGGAGCACTGCTTTATTTATTATAATAATAATAATTGGGTGGGTGCTTATATTTGTCCTATTTCACACAAGTGTGTATACGTATGTTTGAATTGAAAATGTGTTTTTTTGCTTACCCCAACTCCCCATGAGAGTGGGTCACAGCCAAGGTCAGCCATTATCAACGGCAACCCTGGAGCAATTATGGTTAAGTGTCTTGCTCAAGGGCACATCGGCAGATTCAAACTAGCGACATTTCGGTTACTGGCCCAACGCTCTAACCGCTAGGCTACCTGCCACCCTATTTGTATATACAATGTAGCTACATTAAATATATGTCATATATACGCTCTTAAGACTCAAAATGTCAATTGCCCAGTATGTAGTAGTCCTCAATTGCCTTTAAACTGTCACATAGCATAACCATTAATTTGTGAATCTCCTTATGTGATGCTAACTTTTTACCTGTTGGTTAGCTAACCTTTACCTAGCTGGTTAGCTAACCTTTACCTAGCTGTTTCACTAAAGATAACCTTTACCTAGCTGTTTAACTAAAGTTGTCCTTTACATAGCTGTTTAACTAACCTTTACCTAGCTGGTTAACTAACCTTTACCTAGCTGGTTAACTAACATTTACCTAGCTGGTTAACTAACATTTACCTAGCTGGTTAACTAACCTTTACCTAGCTGGTTAACTAACCTTTACCTAGCTGGTTAACTAACATTTACCTAGCTGGTTAACTAGTCTTTACCTAGCTGGTTAACTAACCTTTACCTAGCTGGTTAACTAACCTTTACCTAGCTGGTTAACTAAATTTTACCTAGCTGGTTAACTAACCTTTACCTAGCTGGTTAACTAACCTTTACCTAGCTGGTTAACAAACTTTTACCTAGCTGGTCAACTAACCTTTACCTAGCTGGTTAACTAACCTTTACCTAGCTGATTAACTAAACTTTACCTAGCTGGTTAACTAACCTTTACCTAGCTGGTTAACAAACTTTTACCTAGCTGGTTAACTAACCTTTACCTAGCTGGTTAACTAACCTTTACCTAGCTGGTTAACTAAACTTTACCTAGCTGGTTAACTAACCTTGACCTAGCTGTTTAACTAAAGATTAGCTTTGTCTGTCTCCCTTTGCTTTCCATGCTTTTTGAAAATCTATGTTTGAATTGCTGCTGCAAAGTGAACCCTGTTTCTACAGTGACTGTCTTGTTTCATTGTGATCTATTGTCTGCTGTTGGTTTTGCCTTTATCTTAAACGTCCAACAAGTTCCTAAGAATAAAGCCATATCTGCTAAACGTCCATAGTCAAATTCACCAGCAGCAGCCTTCGAACAGCTGATCCAATAGTTAACATTACTCTCATCAAATGAACACAATTCACATAATGGCACATTCAGACTTCTATTTTGGCTGTTAAAAACAACAACATGCATGGCCTTACATAGAATGTTCTGTATCCTCCATCCTAGCTCTGCTATTTTCTGTTCCTCCATATATTTTATCATCAGTTTTGTGGTCTTAAGTTTTCATTTTTTGCATGGTCTCAGAATTACTTAAATACTGTTGTATTACAGCACTAGTATTACTAGAGTTTGTAAATGCTTTAGTACCTTGATATACTATATTTACAAAAGTATGTGGACACACCTTCAAATTAGTGGATTCTGCTATTTTTTTTCTTCAATTTTCAATTTTCAATTTGTACCTTTATTTAACTAGGCAAGTCAGTTAAGAACAAAATCTTATTTACAATGACGGCCTACACCGGCCAAACCCGGACGACGCTGGGCCAATTGTGCGCCGACCTATGGGACTCCCAATCACGGCCGGTTGTGATACAGCCTGGAATCGAACCAGGGGGTCTGTAGTGACGCCTCAAGCACTGAGATGCAGTGTCTTAGACCACTGCACCACTTCAGTCACACCCGCTGCTGACAGGTGTATAAAATCGAGCACCGAGCCATGCAATCTCCATAGACAAACATTGGCAGTAGAATGGCCTAACTGAAAAGCTCAGTGACTTTCAACGTGGCACCGTCATAAGATGCCACCTTTCCAACAAGTCAGTTCGTCAAAACGTCTAACCTGCTAGAGGTGCCCCGGTCAACTGTAAGTGCTGTTATTGTGAAGTGGAAACGTCTAGGAGCAACAACGGCTCAGCTGCTGAGTGGTAGGCCACACAAGCCAACAGAACAGGACCGCCGAGTGAAAAATCGTCTGTCCTCAGTTGCAGCACTCACTGCCAAGTTCCAAACTGCCTCTGGAAGCAACGTCAGCACAAGAACTGTTCATCGGGAGCTTCATGAAATGGGTTTCCATAGCCGAGCAGCCACACACAAGCCTAAGATCACCATGCGCAATGCCAAGCGTCGGCTGGAGTGGTTTAAAGCTCGCCGCCATTGGACTCTTAAACAGTGGAAATGCATTCTCTGGAGTGATGAATCACGCTTCACCATCTGGCAGTCCGACGGACAAATCTGGGTTTGGCGGATGCCAGGAGAACGCTACCTGCCCCAATGCATAGTGCCAAATATAAAGTTTGGTGGAGGAGGAATAATGGTCTGGGGCTGTTTTTCATGGTTCGGGCTAGGCCCCTTAGTTCCAGTGAAGGGAAATCTTAACGCTACAGCATACAATGACATTCTAGACTATTTGTCCTTCCAACTATGTGGCAACAGTTTGGGGAAGGCCCTTTCCTGTTTCATAATGACAATTCCTCCGTGCACAAAGCGAGGTCCATACAGAAATGGTTTGTCGAGATCGGTGTGTAAGAACTTGATTTGCCTGCACAGAGCCATGACCTGAACCCCATCGAACACCTTTTGGATGAATTGGAACGCCGACTACAAGCCAGGCCTAATCGCCCAACATCAGTGTCCGACCTCACTAATGCTCTTGTGGCTGAATGGAAGCAAGTCCCCACAGCAATGTTTCAACATCTAGTGGAAAGCCTTCCCATAAGAGTGGAGGCTGTTATAGCAGCAAAGGAGGGAGCAACTCCATATTAATGCCCATGATTTTGGAATGAGATGTTTGATGAGCAGGTGTCCACATACTTTTGGTCATGTAGTGATACTTCTGTAATGCTGAGGAATTTTGAAGTGTAGTGAAACCTACGTTTTTTGACTGAAACTATGAATGACCAATGTGTTTAACAAATGTAACAAAAGGGCCAATTCGATACCTAATCTCACAATAAACAGAGCTCCACATTCTATACATAAATGATCATCAATTCAGTGGGTATATCATTCTCTATGCTCCCTATTTGCTGTGACCTTAAAACAGCCAAGATGACATGAATAAGGCCTAGCTCTCAGTAGAGATAGAATGTGCAAGCGTGACCATTCACAGTAGCCTAGCTAATGCCAGTTGGCCTTCTACATTTTGTCTCTCTTTCAAATTTATGTGTATCATGTACAGTCCTCGTAAAGCAATTGTTTGTCAATTAATGCATTATTACAACATTTATTTAGTAGCCCCAACTGTATATTCAATTTGATAATGATTTGATAATTATTAACATATTTTGATCAACTACTGTTCTGTTTCCTACATAGCAAACAACCTCAGTCCTAATGTCGTTGCACAGTATTGTTGTAATTCTAAATTCTGTTAGATTAAGCTATTAACGAGTATAGTAAATGCTTACATACTAATTCAGGAGTCAGTCGTATGTTTCCTTGAATCAGTTACATTTGTTTATTGTGCATGCCTATTGTTTTGTATGTGGTGGTAAACTGCATTCCGATTATTTTGTTTTGTTTTCTCCTTCTCACCTATCCACAATGCAATGCTGTCCCCATGATGCACCTCTGCTTGCTGTTACCTGTATGTTAATACGCTTGAATCCCATTGGCCCACTGCCATCATGTGCTCGCTGTCTGCTATTAAAAGACTCAGTCGACTGCCAAAGCAATGAAGCGACCCCTCGAGGCAACTGTAGACCTGGTACTTTGACCTTTCACCTTTTGCTTTGCACGTAGCTATTAATTGTACTGTAGCAACTCACAGAATTTAATTTGGCATTTTTGTTTTTACAACTTCTTAAGACTCCTCTAGTATGTGTACAGAATAATTCACCGTCAGTTATCCTTCAGTCATTTAATAGGTGTTATATGAACAGTATGAAGTTTTAGCCATTCACTAATTTGATCATAAATACCTTTATTTTGTCATGTAATAGTTGCATACAGTTTACTATTTGGTAATGATTGTAATATTATTTACATACAGTATAAAGCTCATAGCCAGTAATATTATTTACATACAGTATAAAACACATAGCCAGTGGATTTTTGAGAGCTACTGTTAAGTGTTTTATCTGTGTTGTGTTAACATGTCCTTTGTCCTCGGCAGGCGTTCCCCTATGGCTGCCTGCAGCCCCTACCAAAAAGACAAGCACTGGAGAAGAACCACGGGGCCAGCTCCTTCTTCAACCCCAGTATGTTCCACTACCAGCAGGCTCTGGCCAACGCACAGCTCCAGCAGACAGCTGCGTTCTATCCCACAGGTATAATCCATGGCTCCACAGCCCAGTTTTCTGAGTATAATCCATAATCTATGGCTTCACAGGCAGGCTGTCTGAGTATAATCCATGGCTCCACAGCCAGGCTGTCTGAGTATAATCCATAATCTATGGCTCCACAGCCAGGCTGTCTGAGTATAATCCATGGCTCCACAGCCAGGCTGTCTGAGTATAATCCATGCCTCCACAGCCAGGCTGTCTGAGTATAATCCATGGCTCCACCGCCAGGCTGTCTGAGTATAATCCATGCCTCCACCGCCAGGCTGTCTGAGTATAATCCATGGCTCCACCGCCAGGCTGTCTGAGTATAATCCATGGCTCCACAGCCAGGCTGTCTGAGTATAATCCATGGCTCCACAGCCCAGCTGTCTGAGTATAATCCATGGCTCCACAGCCAGGCTGTCTGAGTATAATCCATGGCTCCACAGCCAGGCTGTCTGAGTATAATCCATGGCTCCACAGCCAGGCTGTCTGAGTATAATCCATGGCTCCACAGCCCAGCTGTCTGAGTATAATCCATGGCTCCACAGCCAGGCTGTCTGAGTATAATCCATGGCTCCACAGCCCAGCTGTCTCAGTTTAATCCATGGCTCCACAGCCAGGCTGTCTGAGTATAATCCATGCCTCCACAGCCAGGCTGTCTGAGTATAATCCATGGCTCCACAGCCCAGCTGTCTGAGTATAATCCATGCCTCCACAGCTCCACTGTGCCTCTATGAATAATGATGACTTGTCCTTTATAATTCACTCCTCATGCCCTCCCTGTTAATGTTTGGTTGTTATATCTGTTTAACGTGTCAGTCAGGTGTCTTTCCTTGTTTTTCTACATTCCTCGTGGTCCGATGTAGCTAGCTTTGATGAAGTAATGCAACACCTTGTAATTTGAGCTGTTAATTTTAGCAAATGATGCACTTTCAATGCCACTGTCACGTACATAATAGCTCAATGCCCTGGCAGTTAGATATATCAGTGTGTCCAGATTACATCATCCAGGTTGGTTGAAGGAGACCAGCTTTAATCAAATGTATCAAATTCAGGCCAATGGCCTACATTGCTGTGATAGAGTAAGTACTAAGTTGAACCCTGTGTTAATACACCATTATATCATGAGTTTAGCTCTTTCTCTCAACATGGCCTTCCTCTTGACAGCCATAATCAACAGTAACAGCCACTATGCACTCTGGTTAGATGCTTTATCTCACTGCTAAGTTAACCACTGTACTGCCTGGCTGCCTTAGCACTGATTCCCATGTCAGTGGACAGGAGCTATTTTATTCTGCAAGTCTCATCTACACCCTACACTTAATCCCACACACTATACTCCCTAACACGCATCGTTTGTCGTGGGCTTGTATCTGTGTATGCTCACCAAGCTAAAGAACCCTTGGTTTCCATTGAGGGGTTAATGTCTTGCTTGTATTTGGTTTTGGATGTGTAAAAGCATGCTGAAAACTCTAGCTAACCTGTGTTTCTTCCTCATTATCCTCTACTCACTCCCAACTGCACAATCACACAGGGTCAGTGTTTTGCATGTCTCCTGCTACCAGCATTGGTAGGTCCCTTGCTTATCTTTTCTGATATCACCTCTAATGAATGGAGAATATGGGTGGAATGTTCTCGCTGTTGATTTAAAATACTGTCTTGTTATTCCAATGTGCCCTTGGATAAATATTGTCTGGGTCAGAGGGTAAGGGTGTTTTATATACGTTGGGGACCAGCACATTTTAAATCACCTGTGAGAAAGTGTATTTTATAATACGTTTCAGCATTGTTTTGGTCAGCCATGTTCGTGACAAAGCACCAGCTATTATGTTATGCTCTTCACCATCACTCATTGGCCTACTTTTTTTCTCATGATTATTTAGTTTACTTGATTTGTGTCTGTTCTTCTCTGCAGTGATAGCCATACCGTTGTAAATAATACAAATATTCAAAACATGTGACATCAGTTAGTGCTTGTTGATATTTATAGTTTGTTGCTGCTCTGTGGATTAGGACATTTGATCAGTTTCCCAGAGATTTTATTGAACATTTCTTGGTCTTTCCATATCCAATTGCTTTTCCTCTATTTGTATAAAAAAGGGACCTTATTTCTAACACAGCAGTGAAGATACCATCCTAATGATGATATATGCTATGCAAAACATACTTTTTCTGTGTTGTAATTGGAAGCGTTTAGTGTGAAATGACAATCTTCTCTGGGAATCAGACAAATATCTGACACATTTCCTGAACTGTAACTTCAAACAGCTTTCCTTCATTCTTTTTCCCATGCTTTCTTGCTTTGCACTGTGATTGGATGACCCTAACCCTTTGCACTGTGATTGGAGGACCCTAACCCTTTGCACTGTGATTGGATGACCCTAACCCTTTGCACTGTGATTGGATGACCCTAACCCTTTGCACTGTGATTGCATGACCCTAACCCTTTGCACTGTGATTGCATGACCCTATCCCTTTGCACTGTGATTGGATGACCCTTTGCACTGTGATTGGATGCCATCTGCTGGTCTAACCTAATGATGGCTTGCTGCTAATATTGTACTGTGTTTCACCGTGCAAAAAAAAGAAAAGAAAAAAAGAATAGAATAGATGAAATGTTGCTATGGTTACCATAATGCTCCAGCCACCTGTTCATTGCTTCCATGGTTCCCTTCCTGAAAAAGTACCCATGATGTACAGCACTACGCCTGCTACTGTCTCTGCAGCAACTACTCCTGCCACAAGTGTCCCCTACGCAGCAACAGCACCAGCCAATCAGGTTTGCTCTTTTTTAAAGCTTTCTTTCATGAATCCCTGAGCTCTAAATAAGTGTTGGTCATGACATCAGGAGACGGTTCTCATCAAGGCATATTGCTCTCCTGCCTGTTGCCTTGCTTATTAGCAAGCTTGACTATAATTATTGTACATGCTTTATTAAATATAGTAATGACAGAAAGCACTTATTTAGAGATCTCTCATCTGCAAATAGTAGTTGTTGTGTTGCAACATTTCCTTAATCGTTTTTTATTTAGTGACAAGTGATTTTATTTAATTCAGGTTTTACTATAATTCTGTCAAGTGAGAGAGAAAAAATAAGCTATGGATAAGCCTATTGGTTGAAGCAGCCTAAATTAGCCCCTCAGACTAAAGAGACCAATTTAATAAATGTAAGATCAATGAAGCTCAGAATTTGCTGTTTTTATCACAAGAAGGAGTTAAGTCTCTCTGTGTGTGTGTGTGTGTGTGTGTATGTGTGTGTGTGTTAGGGCTGGGCATTATGTCCAAAATATCATATCACGGTATTTCCTTCAGGCCGTTTGGAAAAATCGTGGCAAAATTAGAGTATACCCACTTCTCCAGGTACCACTACACCCCTGGTTGGCATCTACATTGGTGCTTGTGCTGCATTGGCCATTGCAAACTGAACGCAAGTGTCTCGTGGTCGAGGAACAACAAATGTGCTCATTGAGTGACGGGTGGGGAAGGTCTGTGTGGAAAGCAGCATGGAGAGAGAGCGGAGAAAGGACTCAAGTAGCGAAGTAAAGTATAAAAATGGATGTTACACACGGCGGATCACATTTAACAAACAAAACATTCAAATACCGATATAGAAAGTAAAGTAAAAACCCAAACTGGTCCGTGCATCAATACCGCTATATAATCGATTATAACCTGGGTAGTTCGATCCCTGAGTGCTGATTGGCTGACAGCCGTGGTATATCAGAGCGTATACCACTGGTATGACAAAACATGTATTTTTACAGCTCTAATTACTTTGTTAACCAGTTTATAATAGCAATAAGGCACCTCGGGGGTTTGTGGTATATGGCCAATATACCACGGCTAAGGGCTGTATCCAGGCACTCCGCGTTGCGTCGTGCATAAGAACAGCCCTTAGCCGTGGTATATTGGCCATATACCACACCCCCTCTGGCCTTAATGCTTAAATACGGTATACCGCCCAGCCCAGGTGTGTGTGAACACGTGTTTGTGACAGGGCTGTCACGTTTTCCCATGACAGCCCTGTGTTGCCTATTTTAGACACTTCCACTTGGAGGTCAGGTCAGGTGATGTGCTTAATTCTTTGTCCAGCGGGAGAGTAGAGGAGGGGGCTGTGGTTTGGGAGAACACTACCAACAGCTTTCTGCTGCAGCTTATTCTGCTGGATGTTTTGGTCTTTTATTTCACCTAGGTTGTTAACATGGAATATACACTGAGTAAAACATAAGGAACGCTTGCTCTTTCCATGACATAGACTGACCACGTGAATCCAGGTGAAAGCTATGACCCCTTATTGATGTCACTTGTTTAATCCACTTCAATCAGTGTACACTACCGGTCAAACATTTTAGAACACCTACTCATTCAAGGGTTTTTCTTTATTTTTACTATTTTCTACATTGTAGAATAATAGTGAAGACATCAAAACTATGAAATAACACATGGAATCATGTAGTAACCAAAAAGTGTTAAACAAATCAAAATATATTTTATATTTGAGATTCTTCAAATAGCCACCCTTTGCCTTGATGACAGCTTTGCACACGCTTGGCATTCTCTCAACCAGCTTCATGAGGAATGCTTTTCCAACAGTCTTGAAGGAGTTCCCACATATGCTGAGCACTTGTTGGCTGCTTTTCCTTCACTCTGTGGTCCGACTCATCCCAAACCATTTACTACATGATTCCATATGTGTTATTTCATAGTTTTGATGTCTTCACTATTATTCTACAATGTAGGAAATAGTAAAAATTAAGAAAAACCCTTGAATGAGTAGGTGTTCTAAAACTTTTATGACCGGTAGTGTAGATGAAAGGGAGGAGACAGGTTAAAGAAGGATTTTAAACCCTTGAGAAAATTGAGACAAGGATAGTGTATGTGTGCAACTCCTGAGTGGCGCAGTGGTCTAAGGCACTGCATCGCAGTGCTAACTGTGCCACTAGAGATCCTGGTTCGAATCCAGGCTCTGTCGCAGCCGGCCGCGACCGGGAGACTCATGGGCAGCGCACAATTGGCCCAGCGTCGTCCAGGGTAGGGGAGGGAATGGCCGGCAGGGATGTAGCTCAGTTGATAGAGTATGGTGTTTGCAACGCCAGGGTTGTGGGTTCGATTTCCACGGGGGGCCAGTATAAAAAAAAATATATATATATATGTATTCACTAACTGTAAGTCGCTCTGGATAAGAGCGTCTGCTAAATGACTAAAATGTAAACATTAGGAAGGTGTTCCTAGTGTTTGGTATACTAACATAGTGAATGTGTGTGTCGCTAGCAAGGCTATACATGTTTTATTTGTACTTTCTCTGATTTCAATTAGTTTTTGTTGTTGAGATTTGCAACATTTTAGTTTGAGCTTTTGTTGTTGATTTGTTCTTTTTATTTTCAATGTTATTACAATAACCTGGGTATGTAGACTACTGCCTCAGCTCTGAATCTTATCTGAAAGATGTCTCAACTCAACAGAATGATGTTTGTTTTACTGAAAGATGTCTCAACTCAACAGAATGATGTTTGTTTTACTGAAAGATGTCTCAGCTCAACAGAATGATGTTTGTTTTACATGCAGGATTTAAATATATATTCTTCTCATGGTTTGCTTTGTTTCTTCAGCAGTATTTGATTGTACTGGTCACAGTTTTGCTACTGCTCTACTTCTGCAGATAAGAACCATTTTTCTTTCAACATTTGCTGCCATGAATCTTGTACAGAACTGCATCAGTACTGTTTTTGCCATCCAGAAATGCACTGGTGGCACTGTTACTTGGACCTAAGGGCAATCGGTCATGTTGATTGTGAATGCCACCATTGAGTAACACGATGTCTCAATTTCTGCTCCTAAAACAGATCATCCTCAAGTAACAAACAAGGAAGGAACAGAGTGTCAAGACGCTGCCCTTAGAGGTCCTAAACAGCCCTTCTGTAAATACTACATTTGCTCCACACGAGAACTAGAGCAACCTGCATGCTGAGAAGAAGATTACTGAGGCAATGTATAACATTGAGCTATGGTAAAATATACATATGATATACCAGTGTTGCTAGGACTACTACCATTGCTGATATGTAAATGACTGATTTATTATAATGTATACACACATGATTGGGGATTGTGAAGATTTAATTGTAAAGGTATTCAACAATTACTTTTATGACCTTTTTTTAATGTTTTGTTAAAACTACACAACACTTACCCAAATCAAACTCATTTTTTAGCAGAAATTATTGTGCATCTAAGTGCTTGATTGCTTTTATTTAAAACACAGACCATTGGAAAATTATCTTGTTTTTACCCCATATAAAAATGTACGCTTGGCTTGTGCATCAGGCTAGAAGGAGTGCTCGTGTTGTTCTTGTAAAGGATGAATGTGCCGGAGGATGGATAGTCTGTCGTTGTTTATCTAGTGGTTGTTCTCTGAGTACAGGATCACTGCTCCCCCTCCCGGTGTGCCTTGGCCCCCTCTATGATGAAGGAACAACACATTGACTAAGACATGATAATAGCAGAAAATTTAAGTCTTCTTCCTTATGGTGGCCAAATGGCAATGATGTAATAATCAGCCACTAATTCCAGAATTGATAATGTATCTAGCGACCACTGGTTCCAAGGTTCTGTCTGCGCTGCGCAGCTTGTGTTATGTCTATGGGGCCCTTGGTTGCCTTGGCATCCATCGAAGAAATACCAGATGTGCCAATGACCTAGCAGAGTGATTGGTGGGCTGAAAATAAGCCACCTTAGAGGAACTGAAAGGCTGAGTAAGAGTGGTGAGCTGTTACAGACATTAAAGGGGTTGGGTGGTTATACTCCCAAGGCCACAGACATTAAAGGGGGACGTGAATGATAATAAATCAAAAGAAAGGTACAGTACATGTGGTGATCTTTGTTAAAAAGGCTGACTTACACATTACGGGAGGTCACTTGTTAATCCTGACTTATTTTAACTGTAGAAGTGCCTAAAGTAATGTATATAACAAGCGTCTTGAAAAGGCTTTATGTGAAAAATATTCCACATTAAATAGAAAACCCTCACAATTTTTCAAAACACTCCACAGTCTCACAATAATCACTTCTGGAAGACAATGAACAACCATTTATGTGATGTGAATTCAGTGCATTGGTACTCTTTGTACAGTGGGATAGTTTAAGTGCTTTAACTTTTCATTGACCTTTGACTTTTAAGTTCCAATATCTGACAGATCTGAACATGACTGCTTTGGCATGATGTTCAGTGAGGGTTCATTATGTAACATGGTTTATCTTAATTCTTAATGAGTTTAAAGTTGATTGGAGATGAGATTAGAAAAGCGGATATGTATCGTAATTCTATGTTGCTAACTCATTCTTCTCTTTACACAGCTGTCTTGATCATATCCTCACATTTAATGCATCGATATCATAGTCTAACACCTTTCCAGTAGAATGGATCACAAATGTTTTAGTGGTAGGTCGTGGTCACATTACAAATGTAATGAAACTCATATAACCCTACATATATTATTGTCAAAGCTGAATTGTATTTACAAACTGGTCTGTAAAACTAGCACTTACAAACACCAGATTTATCCACCAATGCACCAGTGCAAAGTCTATACCTGTTATTTACAGTAGGGTATAAAAGACTCATGAAGCCAGTTATTTACAGTAGGGTATAAAAGACTCATGAAGCCAGTTATTTACAGTAGGGTGTAAAAGACTCATGAAGCCAGTTATTTACAGTGGGGTATAAAAGACTCATGAAGCCAGTTATTTACAGTAGGGTATAAAAGACTCATGAAGCCAGTTATTTACAGTAGGGTATAAAAGACTCATGAAACCTGTTATTTACAGTAGGGTATAAAAAGACTCATGAAGCCAGTTATTTACAGTAGGGTATAAAAGACTCATGAAGCCAGTTATTTACAGTAGGGTATAAAAGACTCATGAAGCCAGTTATTTACAGTAGGTTGTAAAAGACTCATGAAGCCAGTTATTTACAGTGGGGTATAAAAGACTCATGAAGCCAGTTATTTACAGTAGGGTATAAAAGACTCATGAAGCCAGTTATTTACAGTGGGGTATAAAAGACTCATGAAACCTGTTATTTACAGTAGGGTATAAAAAGACTCATGAAGCCAGTTATTTACAGTAGGGTATAAAAGACTCATGAAGCCAGTTATTTACAGTAGGGTGTAAAAGACTCATGAAGCCAGTTATTTACAGTAGGGTATAAAAGACTCATGAAGCCAGTTATTTACAGTAGGGTATAAAAGACAAAAACGAATCTAAAACCATTGAACTATTTACATTTATCTACACGTAACATTATTGTACCTTTTGCTCAAACTTGTATGTTTTATTTGCTCTTGAAAATAACAGTTAAAAACTTCACGCGGGTGCACAGTCTAAACACAGTCTTTCATTCTCCTCTTCACATTTAGTGTGTGAGTGAAATCTGTATGTGTCGAAAACCTCATCAGTATCATGATATATTTTCATGATGTTTGATCAACTCAGACAATCCACAGTGAGACTCCTTGACGCACATCCTTACCATCTTTGTCCTTTTCTTATTTTTATTTTCAGAAAAGTTCATTTTTATGTAATTATTGATGGAAATAAATGGAATATACTTAGTTTTATTTGTTTAACATTAGTTATTGAACAATGTTGTATTCTATTCTAAAAATGAATGTAATTTATTAAGCTGAGCTTTGCTCTGCTGGTGGTTCCTCAAAGGACGTGTCCTGTCACGTTAGCCTATGAAAAGCCGTCTGTGGTCAGGGATGGAATGTTGGCGCTACCAATGGCAAGCTTCCACATCTCATCCTGGTCACTGCCTTGTCAACTATACAGGACACCATACTGCATTACAAGCAAGGTTGTAGAATTGCTTTTATTATGTATAAAAACAGTTTATTGTATAGGTCACAGTCTACCAAAAAATGTACTTTTCATTGTAGTACACTATCATTTCATAACTATATTAATTTGTCTCCTAAAGTTGCAGTGATGGAAGCTCTGTATTTTTGGAAATGATGTCATTGTTGTATTTTCTAGAGCACTGTAACACACTATATTGTATTGCCGGAATCTGAGCATTTCCTATTTTATGGCAAAAATGATATACAACAATATTTTCAGTATCATATTGCCTTTGTATCACAGTACTATATTCATTTAGCATTTGACAGCCTACCCATGGCATTTAAATGCTCATTAATAAATGCTCTGATCTTTCTATTCCACCAGATAAAAAGCATCCCTGGACTCATACAGACAAGGGAAAACTCAAAAAGCACTTTGTTCCCAGAATATAATAATTTTTACACTGCAGAAAACTATGTTAAACATATAGTTGTGGGTATGGCTAATGTGGCAGTGATTCTCCTAAATTATGTCAATTGTTCAACGAAGGCGTCTTTCACAAGAAAAAATGTCTCTATGAAAATGTATGTTTATTTCAATGTTAATTTCAACTTGATTTTTGCTAAATGTTTTGAATGTTATTATAGCTAGATAACTCTGCACCTGAAAGTCAGTTGAGATTTTAGACCACCCAATCAAAAGTGTTGGACAGTCAGAATGTGTTCACTTTTACTGACCCAATGGTAACATGATTCCTTAGCACTTTGTGAACAGTTGGTAAACTGAGCTGAGCAGACTAGCGTATTAGTGATCTTTGCCTTGCCTTTGATGTATTGTTCTTAAGTTGTTATGTGTTAGGACTCATGAAATATAAGGATTGTAATTAGTCTATTGCAATTAGTGAAATATGCTGTTTAAATTCTCACTACAGACATTTTCATTTTGAGGTCAAAATGGTAGATTGTAAAGAGTGCAGTCAAGTACTTCACTGAGAAAAGCTTGACGATGAGAAATGTGACGGGTGCCATTCTAAATGGCTGAGCTACAGTTACCGCAGGGCTGTGTTTAAACTGCTGTGCTGGTTCACATACGGTTCCATCTGTAATGCCGTACACTAGAACAGAGGGGAAAAGGACAAACAGTTACTCATTTTGAATCTATTCATGTGGCAATTTTAAATGTTTTATTTGTGCTCTTTTATGTTATATACAGTCGTTTTGGTAAATGCAAAATTGTGTCAAATCTAATGTTAAAAAAACAAATAAAAGTTTAAGTTTAAGCCAAGTTTCTGATGCCTTTGTTTTGGTGATTCACATAGGAAATAATACGCCTATTTATTTGGGGTCTTTATGTAAGCAGAGGACATTATTTCAAAGGCCCAAATAATGAAAAGCTCCATCTCAGGAATGCAATTTACATGTTAGTTTTAGTCTTATCCCATTTCCTATGGCAAAAAATAAAAAAATAAAAAATATTGGGTATTATTCGATGAATATGCTACATTGTTGCCATTTGTATCGAATAGTCTGTCTATGAACATCTACATCTGATAACACTTGGCAGATATTGCAAAGACATTGACTCATCCAAATGCATCCATATCATTCTGTCTAGTTATGTAAAGGACTATACATAACTAGACAGAATGATATGGATGCATTTGGATGAGTCAATGTCTTTGCAATATCTGCCAAGTTGAACTATCTCTATACAGAGATAGTTCAAGAATGTATTTTGCTAGCCTCCACTTTCACATTGTACTGCTGTTTGTTTGAAAGACCGCTACTCTTTTGATGCATGTACACGGCTGGTAGCGTTACCATCGCAACAGCATCCAGGCGCACTTTCCTTCTCTTGGATACGCATCCTCAAGCTCCTCCTGTGATTGGATGAGCGCCCCGAGGATGTCACTTGGGTTACCGAATGATGGGAAATTGAACACATGAACGGAAATCCAACCCTTGTATTTTACTGGCCGTTTCCGTGTGGCATTCAGATAGTCATGAGTGAGGTTTACAGCAAATAGAGATAGCCATTGGCCTCTTCGCACGGCTGTCTAGTTGGGAAGACCCGTCTCCTCGTATCGTTGGTACGGAAACCGAGAGGGGACTGGTTGGTTACGCGGCG